AGAATCGGGATAGAGATGCTACCCTGAGGCTGTGTGATAGAAGAGCTTCCATACAAAGATTCTTTTATTGGATTATATTAGGTATCCTCAAGGTCACTCACCGTTATGTCGAGATGCATCGAATGTCCAATTCGTTGCCCAGTTGAAATCGTCGTGTCAAATGATAGTATTATCTTTCTATCCCATATTTCATCCCGTAGTCGTAGAAATCGGGATAGAGATGCTACCATGAGGCTGTGCGTTCAGGCAAGAGTGAAGAAACCTCCCCCAACCCAACAAGGGTCAATTCAGTGACCAATCAGGGTTACAGATGTGGCCGCATGACATAAACTACATTTCCCAGGATACCTTAACTACATTTGCATTCCCTTAAGGGGACAGCTCTCCATTCCTAACTATCCCAATTCCCATTAACTCTATAAACTGTCTGGACAGCACATTGTCTGCATGTGGGGGTATGAGATCGAGGTTGTGTCGCCATGGCAGGAAGTCAAGATGGCCACCGGAGGGACGGGTAAACGCCGCCTGGACCGGAGGTTGCCCAGTTATGGGGGCGGGCCCTTACCAAACCTGCAAATTAAGCCAGGATCCCTCGTCTCAGGCTGGCAATGCTTGCTGTATCACACTCACACACCCTTGTCCTCTTCCCGCAGGAAGTCCCGGCCACGTCCCGCACAAATGCAACAGCATTAAGCACCGGATTATCTCCCCAAAGTTGGATGTCCGTCCCTGCCCGTTCCCAGCCCTGACGGAAGTGCAAAACATCTCCGGCAGCCATGAGGGCAGAGCCGAGGCCGAGGCGGCCAAAGGGCCTCTCGTGGACACCAAGGGCGCCAAGCCGGCCAAGACCGGCTCCCCCACCATGGCCGACGCCGTCCCGGACTCCATGCAGCAGCCTTCCCCAGCTCTGACCCGGCCCGGAAGCTTCCCCAAACAGGAGCGGCCTCCGAGCACCCTGTCCGTCGGCGCCATCTTCGTCGTGGCTGGGCCAAGCGGGGCCGAGAAGCCGCTGGCCTTGACCCCCAGCCAGCACCTGGTCTCCGGAGAGGGCGGGGCGGCTCCCACGGCGCCTCTCGGCCTGTCCGTCTTGCCCGGCCTGGTCCTCTCGCAGAGCCTGGACTCGGCCATGGAAACCAACGAGGGGGCCCCGGACGCCTTCGACCCGGATCGCTTCCTCAACAGCCCCAAGCAAGGGCAGACGTATGGGGGTGGCCGGGAGTCCCAAGCCGAACCCGAGTCCCCGGAGAAGACCCCGGCCGCGGGCTACTCCCTCTACGTCTCCGCCAATCGCTTCTTCATCCAGGACGACGGGGCCCCGCTCTCGGCCAGCCCCACCTTGGCGGCGGCGGAAGCCACCAGCTGTGCCGAGGCGCCTATGGAGACGGCGGGCGAGGGGGGCTCCCGGGCCGGGGGGTTGCCCGGCGGAGAGGAGGAGGCCGGCGGGGTGCCCGAGATCTCCCCCAAGGAGCTGCAGGAGGAGCTGTACTCGGTCATCCAGCGCGTGGCGGCGGCGGCGGCCAGCGGCGGAGGTCCCTTCGGCCTCTCCCTCGACGGCCATTTCCCGGATCTCATCAGCGAGCTGATGACGGAGGGCACAGCGGCCGAGGGAGCGGGCAGTCCGGACGGCCCCAGTCCCGGGGCAGAGAGCCCAGAGCCGGTTTTGCCCGATCCTTGCTACACGGCGGAAGCCATCTTGGCGGGCTCCGCTCAGCCCTTAGTCTCCATCACCGACTTCTCGCCCGAGTGGTC